TTAACCATTATTGACTGCTGTGGTGACATTAATTACAGAGAGCCTTGGAAACGTAGGTGTTCCTGGTAATTGTGGCCAAGAACTTGAGACACGAGAACATTCTTTTGGAGGATGTAGCGAATCGACTTGAAATTATTATCGGCACAAATGGATTTCCCCACTGCAATCTTCAGACATTTCCCGCCTGACAGTGCTCAATAATCTCTCATTGGCCTCTGTCCTCACCGACTGAAGAGTGATGAGGAACAATCCATGTTGTAATATTGTTTTGACAAAATATTACGGCTGTTATTGATGAATGAAACTGCACAGTATGAAGTTCAATCCGTCTGATGAGATGTGCGGTATATATACGGGGGCGTCTTAGTTAATCGCAGATAGGCACGAACTGTGCATTCATGTAGGTCTGCGTGGGCTGGAGTAATGGTTCTTGTATTATCATACCGCCGTGAATGTAGGAATTATTAGTTATTGGACTGACAAATTCACGGTAATTGTGTCAAGCTGGTAGCACTAAGGCGACGCGACGTTCAAAGGGCCTGTACTTGGACGGACAGGTGGCTGGCGGGGGCGTAATGCATATCCTGTGGGACTTGGAATGGTTAGTTGCTGGATGTACTGTAAAGTCCATTTTTACGGGGATACGGCAAAGTGGGTCAAACGTACCCTGAGGGGTTTAGTGAGGGAGTGCAAGAGCAGCCGCACGAAGGCATATACAGCAAGGGAGCTGAAAATGTTTTGCATAGATAACTGCTGTTTGACATTGTGATTTATTAGCACAATGCTCCTTATATTTTTTTCGTCCAGGTTGTATAATATTACATTGAAATTTTTGGTAAAGTTGTTCGCTTTTCGACTCTGACCGTGTAGACGCGTAATATAAAGTGTTACTTGTTGACTAGTCATTCCACCCTAACTTATCCACGAATCTGGCCATGTACGCGGACGATAGGCAGAGAGAGCAGCTGATGGTCGGCTGCTCGACGCTGCGAGGGTATCTCATTTGAGAACAAAAGAGTCATGGAGCTGTATTCACGGAACTCAGTTTATTGCCCCCTGGGAGTAAGGGCGGATCCAAAACCATGGGAGGCGGCTATTTTTTTTTGGGGTTGGGGGGGGGGACAAGTTTTGATAATTAATTGAACCTTTCTGAGAATGAGCTACTTTTTGGGGGTTCTTACACACTTTTTTGAAGTAAGAAAAATGATATAGGCCTAGACCACGAAATCGTCTCTCCCTCATTATTTTTCGAAATACAGTCTTGCTCCTTTTTGAGAGGATGTCCCTGCTGCCCCCCCCCCATCCACCCGTGCCTGGGGACATGTTGCCATTTGTAATATTATTTTATTGATTTTTTTGGTGAAGGCATTCAATAAAAACAGGACAAGTACTCCCACTTCTTGTTGTTGCATAGGGTGCAGGACTCCTAACCTAATTTACGCCATTGACGTTGCATCCTCCACTTGAAATGGTTCGCCGACATTCTGAAGAAACAGAAACAAATTCCAAAACTTCTTCATCATTAGAGTTCGAGAACTCAGCTGCGTAGTGTACTGACAAACAAAACAAACAAAAGTAATCTTATTAGCATTTCTCCCAACTCAGTTCCGACAGGTGAGATTTCATCTATTTATCCTTTCTACATTCAGTATCAGTGTTTTATGCATGGATAGGACTAGTGGCGGCACTAGTCTGTGCGCTCTCGACGTGATCGCGGCTGCCTAGTATAATAAAATCCCATCCGGCAACGGGTTGTCGATAGACAAACTGAACTAACCGCGCAGCGGTACGTGTAAATATACGTGCAGAAATCCTTACACTCGTCTTTGCTTCTGTTTCCTCCCCAGGGTGCATGCGGTCAAGGAGGGGCCTCCGTTCTTTTGCAAGGATTGGGGCTGTCACCGCCGCCGCAGTTGTACGCCGAGGCCTGTCTTGTGACTTAGCCCTGTCAGGACGAAGAGGTCGATCGGTCGGTCGGGCGGAATGATGGCAGTGGAGCCAGCATTCCTCGTTGGAGGCGGCGTCCTTCACACTTGACGCACTGGTGTGTTAAAGTTGCCGGTTTGATAAAATTTACCGAGTTAAAAAAAAAACCGGGCGCCATGCAGGTGATATGTATTTCATGAAATAAAAGAAAGAAACTGGGACCTTTGAAAGATCGCGGATGGAGCACCTTTTCCCAACCGAACTCTAAAAGTTACAGGGAAGGATTTAATTGTGGTAACAAGACTACAGTTTGCCTTGAATTTTCTAAGCAAAGACAACGAGGGTGCCGCTGTACGCGGCTCGAGAAAAGATGTTTATGGCACTTGATCAAGTCGTTAAGTTGGTGACAATTGGCCCTAGTCTCAGTGCAGGCGTTTTCAGGTTGTTGTTACTTCCGTAAAGCCGTGAGCTCTGCGTGTTCAATCATTCATCGTGCTCGGTCGATTTGAAAGAGCCGCTCAGTGAATAAGTTGAACTTTTGAAAGAAAATGGCAAAGTTTTCAAAACTTCTGACGCCAAATTTTATGATCATTTGGGGTTAATGTGGTCAGGAGCCCCTGCCTAATCTAATATAGTTATCAGTTTAGTCCATGACCAGTTTGAAAGCTACTTTCGTAACTAAGAAAAGAATCCTCTGCTTTTCTACTTTTCTTTTTAGACGTGCATCCGGGGCCTTGTATTCCTGATCTGAATGAAACGCCTGTCCCGTTTCAGTTAAATTACAAAATTGGGCTTCTAAGACACTAGTAACGTAAAAGTTTCATTTTGGAATTTTTCAATAACACAGCAATGCTTTTATCATCTATTTTCCCCTTCCGGTTTTTATTGCATTTACCCATTCACTATCGCGATGTTGCTTCCACCAGCCTCCCAATTTGGCTTGTAAATTCTCTGTGTAGCCCGTTGCATTCTGCTGGCTACTGGGTGTGGTGTAAGTTGAAGTCGTGGCACTGGTTTTGACTTTTCCATTTACAAACTCGTTGGCTCAGCCCTAAGTTACAGACAGAAATGATATGTCTGCTATATTTGCAGCCAACTCGCATACAACGCAGTAGAAAGTTCTTGTTAAAAATCACGACCACTCGGGAGACTCCAGCAGGCCTGTTTTTCAATCCATCATCTCAAAAGGACAGTTTTTTCCTCATCCCTTAATTCGACAATTCCAGTTTGGACTCACAGAAATTCCCAAGTGGCAAGATCTATTAGGGAGCGATTCAATGAACGTCCAAGGTCTCCGTGATTGAGGGGCAAACTACCTGACTGGCAACGCATACACAGGTTTCTGATTTGCCGTTTCTCCTTCAGCCCGATCGGAAGTGTTTTATCTCTTTACGCCTCCGCTGATCCGTACGGATCCCCGACGCCAGCTTGGCTCCCCGTGTGGTTGCCTTACACGCCAACACGACACACTCACCTGTCGCGAGTCCAGTTGACGGTTGGCGGGTCCGCGGGAGACGGCATATGCATTGCGACGCATGGGTTCAGCGCAGTATCGACCCCAAGGGTCGTTTATTTGTTCCTTGCCTTGAAAATCTTAATATTACTACTGTCTGACATGGGCGTGACCTGGAATTTTTTTTTTGGGGGGGGACTTTTTGTGATGAAAAAACGTTCCTCGGAAGCACTCACCATAGACCACAGACAAAGCGGGTCAATTTTGAGGTTCTAGTTAACTTCTAGCCCCCCTTCTCCCCAAATCGACGGACTTTATTCGTAACGTGTTTGGCAAAACAAGCAATGTCTGGTGTTAAAGAGATCAAAACCAACCAGAGCTTTGAACATAGCCATATGTTTTGAAAGTGATAGCAGGGGCTGAAGTCAGGATTCTGTCTCATAAATGTTCTTCGCCTTCTCTCAAATTATGGACCAATCCAGGGACGTTTCGCTGGACCTTCCCGTCGGGCACCTTTAATGGTGGAAAGTACTGAGTCAGGTTTGGCACAGAGCGATGGCTACGTAAAATGATTTTCTGGAGTAAGTATGCGGTATGTAGCGCCTTGTAATTGTACAGGAATTCTCTATTTGAGTTTGTGAGGTTCTGAAGAACATTTATGGAAATTCAGTGTTGTCGACAGTATCCTCCTCGAGCAGAAGCACCTCCTCATCGGTTAAAAAGAGCCGTGTTGGTCGGAAGTGCCATGTTCATTTGTTGATAGCGATGCAACTATGTATGTGACGCGTGCATTTCCTAGTCGCTCGCGAACCAGCAAAGTCCAGTTCCGACCAAAGGAGCCTCCATTGCTCCATCGTCGAGCTCGAGGCCCTAAAGCCTACCGGTAGCCTCTGTCCGTAATATATGTACTTATCACAAGTAGCTCCCGCCATTGGCACTGGCCTCTGTAAATTACTATAGGGTCACCGAATTCGTCTGTAAAAGACCACAGAATGGACATTTTGTGAACTGGATTCTACATACATATGTACATAATGGATATACTGCATTTTGTTGCTTCCATTTTGACAGGACTCCCATGGCATCAATTGTAGCCAGCCAGGTGTCATAGAAAGAATCACCTGTCCAACTGTGGCGTAGCCTAACTGGGGTGGAATTCCCAGGGAGGGCAGGGGTGCATACAGGTTTCCAAGGGGACACTGAAAGAAACTTCGGCCTGTACTTCATTGCCTTCTTTTCAATATTTCAAATGGGAGGGGGTGCAGGACGGGAGAGGGGGGGAGGTAATGGCCCCCATTGTAGTTGTGCCTCTGTTGTCCAATCTCCGCGTTCTTTGTTTTTTGTTTTTGTTTTTGGTAAAGACACAATCAAGGTGGCGGTGGAGAATTCTCTCGATTCCTGCTTAGTGCTGACGTTAAGGTCTTTGGATAATTTGGCCTAGGTCAGTTGAAAAGACGGCCCGAAATGAAATGTTTGATTTGAAGTACGGGCAGGGACAGAGGGAACAGACTCATCTCTTCGTGAATGGCAAAGATCACTGGTGCACAAATCGGTATGCGCAATATGGCGCCTTCTAACACCCCCGCTGAAGCTCAAATAAGGTCAAAAAGCACAGAACAAATGACATATGCATAACAGTTTTATTCATCACCATAACTGTACGATAGAAATGACCTCGTCAAAAGAGAAAATCAGCAACATTACTCGATTATCAATCAATACACTCATCAGTTGTTCTTTCGAGATGACACATTAACAAATTTGATACAAAGTTTCAGATACTGATTAATAGTACAATTTTTTTACATCATGTAAAGCAAATTATTGAATTATATACTTTGAGCTCACAATTCTCATACACAATCATTTTATCATGTGGAGGTTTTTTTTCATACAACATAGCTGTCTCCGCCACAAATTGACAAATATGCAAAAGCTGGTCGGAGTGGATCAAAATTTTATGACATTTCGAATGTTTTACTGGTGCCTGTGAAAATGTGAATCGAGACAGCGTCAACAAAATCTTGCTTTTGGTTTCGACTGAAAACCGCGTGAAACAATACATCTTTCATCCCCGTTGTCAACTCATTTTTACCCCATACTGCGCGATGGCTTCTTTGTGACCAATCTGCTTACACTCGCCGTTTGATATCCCAAAGATTCCTCAGTCTGCATCAGCATTCTAAACAAGTGCCAGAGATTTTTTTTTTATATACGGCTTTTGTTTTTGTCCTTTTGGTTTTTCTTGAAAACCACTCGTCGTGTTCAAACACGGCTTCTAGAAAGTATTTATTGTGCTTAGGCGCATGCCAAGAGTTAGAAAAAAACTTGGCTCAAAAGTTTGGCAGTTACATGAACATTTTAGTGCAGATAAAAACGGAAAAAATATTTCATAATAAGTAATAACTCAATAAGTGCTGGTACAATGTGAAAGGTTCTCTCATTTTGGTAGGGAAATTTCGAGTGAGTTCAGTTTCATTCACAATTTTATTTTAAACTTCTTTAACGAAGCAATTAACACTTTTCCCAATTTTTCACTAAGAATTTTCACCACATCGCAAGAGGTTGCCTTCCTCACTAGAAAGGCTGAATTAGCGTTCAGTCTTGTAAACAAAATAATTCTGTTCAATAATAGAAGTTTGCGTATGTAACATATTTACAAATAAAATATATAATATATATTAAAATAATTAGAGCCAGTTTTAATGAAATAAAATACATACTTAATGAGGTACACATAACCTTTTATAAACAAGCACTGTCTTAAACGTTTTTCATAAGTAAATACAGTACAATATTTAGTAGTCTACGGCAGTATTTAAAAATCGTTTATTTACGAAGTCGTACGGTGAAACAGTGATCAAGTTACCGTTAATTAACATTTGAAAAAGTCTGTTTGTAAACCACCTTTAAAGAATAGTACCAGAGTACTAGATTTTCCAACATTGCTTTTGGAGGCCACTTTCACATCTTTTGAATGTCAGAATTTTATTTAGAGTCACAACAAAAATAATGTTAATAGCCGTGTGAAGATGATCCTATTACCTCGTGAACGTGTTTTGTTGATGTGCAGATGAAGGGCAAGAGAGAAACAGTTTTTGTTCGACATACAATTCCTTTTTTCAAACCTATGATTCTGCGGACGAAGCGACCTTACAGTTTGTTCGACACCGTTATTCCCAGCTAATTGAATTCTTGTTAGTAATTTTTTGTCGAAAAAGCCACGTCAGTTTAAAATTGTAAATAAAGGTCAATCTCATCTACTCTCTGGCGGGCCACAAGTTGCATTGTGAAACACAGGAAGATCAGGAACATCATGCATTGTTGAGTAAACTTAAAACGTACAGCAAATTATACTGGAAAATTCTATGAGCGACATTTTGTATTTTAAGCTGGTACTCACAAACACAAACAAATGCTTTGAACGGATGCGAAATTAGTATGCAACTGCTTACAGATGGAGCATTCGAAATAAGTATCATGTATCCAGTGAAATCAGATTTTTTTTTTGGGGGGGGGTCATAGTATTTGACACATGCCTGCCTATACGCTCGACCTTCACGGAAGGTTCCATTCTCAAAATTAGAGATACGCGCCTCTTTAGAGCTAAGCAGTATTATAATATTTTTGAGATTAGTAGATAAACTGGTAACAGAAATTGATGCGTGCTACTGCTTAATGCGTCATGAATAAACTCCATCAATATTTTTTTCCTGTCTTAATTCTACTCTGTATCTCTGGTATCCCAGGACGTGCGGGTTTATTTCCACAACACACCACTCCTAGGATATCGAGGAACTCGACCCTAACTCAGCCAAAGTTATGAATGACGTTGCACGACTTCTCGCCAATCATGAACGCTCACCACAACCCGCATACGTCGTAGTCTTTTCTTGGTGCGTAGACCTCAAGTCATCAGAAGTCCGACACGACGACATAGCGAAGTTACGAGACATCCACCGCGACACAACGACATTGCTTGACCTTCTCCACTCTCCTCCGTTGGATGCTGGGTGTCTGCCCGGGACACCTTAGATTCACCGTGAACGTGGTTATCCTGTACGGTTTGCAGAAAGAGCAAGACCTGAAGGCGTCGTTGAAGTCCGACGACTGTTTGGGGATGTAAAACGAGTTGCACTGTCCATAGCAGAGACGGTTGGTTATTATCCGGCTAACGCAGCCCTCCACGTCGATGCGCTGTTTCAGTGGGAGTGTCTTGCACCAGTCACCCCTCAGGTATTGCTTCTCTGTCACCTCGTACGGTTCACCGCTCTCAGGTGTGAGTATCTCGTCCGGGGACAGAGGCCCACTGCCCCCCGTGCCCCTCTCGTTGCTGGCGCCTCGCTGCGATGACGTGGTGGAATCCTCGTCGTCCGCGTCCAACAGGATCAATGGGTTAGTTTGGGGTAGTCTCCTACCGGTCGTCGCTGCAGCTGCGATGAGTGATCGGGTGGTCATCAGGCCCAGGAGCACACAGCAGACGAGCATTGATCTGGCTGGTAGGGAGACTCGGTTCCCCGATAGGCTATGGATATGAACAAAAAATCAATAAGTATTAGCAGGGCTTTGTTGGATAATTTGAATCGTGAATAAAATAGGGAGGAAACAACAAAAACCTACCAAATCAAACCAAACCAAAAACCAACATTTCTGTGGGCGTAAATCCCGGGGGATGGGTAGTAGGCTATTGAATTACCCCTTCCACTTTTTCGTGGCGAGAAAAAACTATGGCGACATTTTTTGGACATGCCAACGATCAAAATCAACAGCACTTTAAAAAGGGAGAACAATATAAAAAGAAGCCATAACTATGCTGTTCTGACGTAATATTCTGCAGGAATGTAGTACATATTAAATAATATATATTACATATAGTGTCATATGGTGTCAGCACCCCCTTCCACTTTTCGAACTGCCATGGCCGGGCATGTCATCCCCCCTCGCCCCCCACAATTCCCAATCCCCATCTCCCAAATTTCTGGCACAAATTTACGCCTCTGAACCTTTCACTTTAATAATATCCAAATGATAACATCTAGGACTGGATACAACGCCAATGCACTTAACAAGAGTAACGAAAACCGAACAAACAACCCCTCAAATCGATTTGAACCCTACAGAATGCGAAGTCAGTTATAATTAGCCTATTCGTGTAAACAGACGTCAACGAAGCGTTAAACGGATTCTTCGGAAAAAAAAAGAACGCGAGTGACATTGGGAAGACAGTAAAGAGCGTTCGTTAAATTTACCTCGATAAAATAAACGATAAAACGACCCGCCAACGCCGGATATTAAAAAAAGAATAAGCACACAATTCTTGTACACACTTTAGAAGAATACCATTGTTTGCTTATTTTACACGCCACCGTATATCCTGTGCGTGGGCTATTTTTCAAACACAGATTAGTGTTTGGAGATCGACAGAGACCGACCAATTCCGTGTCAAATTTATATTTATAGTATTAAATAGATAACAACCATTTTCATTCGCCATGTCAAGAGACGCTCAGAGGTCCAGTGCAAGCCAAGATCTTCAATTCTCAAAGCATGTTTTTGCTTCATTTTTGGTTGGTTTGCCCGACAGTTGAACCCTGTCTTGTATCAGCATCCCGACTCCCAATAGTCTGGTTGAGCAACCTCTTTTTGTCTTTTATGTTTGGATCCTGCAAGAAGCAGACAGCTTAAATCGACGGCTTTCTCAACTATAAACCTTCCAGAAGAGTTCAAGTACTAGACCGTTCCAAAGTAGCTACTCGCCAACGATGATGTCGCAGCGGTTTTAATTCTCCGACCCAGTCCGGGGTCGTCGAAAGCTATGCAAGCCGAGGCCAACTCTCGAACAACAATGGGCGAAGTGTGTTTACGTCAATTAAATTTTCACCACTTGACTTGTTGGCACGGTGCGCACTTTCGATGGCGCGGTTTACAGACACTCCAGAAACACTAGAGTCTGGCGCGCGACGCCCTCTTCAGTCTGGGATGGGGGTTCCTCAAACGGCAGAACAGCACGTACAGGTCTTTCAAAACACGGTGGTCCGGGGAGATGAGGCGTTTTATGGAAACGGCTCGTATGATACTCGAAGGTTGCCTCATTAAGCTGGGATGCGGTCAAAGAAGAGTGGGTTGAAAAGGTGCCTCCCCCCGTCAGAATCTGTTGAACGTCTTGTATCAATCATAGTGGTCTGTCGGCCTTTGTTACTGCACTTGTCCAGCATCTCCACAAGCGGGCTACTCGCATTTTACTCTCAGCCATCTCCTCTTGAAGATCCAGCTGTTTACCGTTCCCTCATACTCCACAAGGTTATTGTGGTTGTTGGATGGTTTCATCCCAAAGTCTGCCACCCTGTTGGTGTGTTGTTTTTTTCCCGCCATACCGTGTATGAGCCACGCATGCAAAGAAGTCACTATGATTTTCCATTCACGGAGCAGATGCACAAATGTCATATTCCCCTCTCTGTCCAGTTCGACCTAGCGACAGTGTTGACCCCCTAAGCTTCACTTCTGCTTTTAGTTTCAGACCCCTGTGGCTTCTGTGGCGAGGGATGAAGGGAGAACAACTAAATTTCACCCATATCCCCTTTAATCATTGCCCCTATGAAACATTTTGTAGCCAGAAAGCTGTTTTTCCCGTCATATTCAAGATCAACAGACTTTCCGATTTAAAGTGTCAATTTTGGAGGAGCCCTGAATTTATGTCATACTGTTCACCTTAGTTCAAATGTTTAACAAACATTGAATGTTCTTTTAAATCATTTTGCAATGTTCACAACGAGTTTCAAAAATGACGTATTCCCGGCGTTAGTAATTGTCAAACACCTCTTCGTCATTCCTTGAATGTGCCGTTTTATTTTTCTATAAATGTCAACTCTTAATAGTCCGTGGCGACGTTCATAAATTCCAGCGTTTTACCCGGGAACCGCCAACAACCCATTTGGCGCCTTCGAAAAAATACCGCCCTAAGTGGTCACGGAGCCCGCGGAGGACGGAGGACACACAAACAAGCGAGTAAGGCCTGTTTGACAACATTAGGCCGTCAGTCAAACACCCTGACTCCTATCTCTGAAGCTGGTGTTTGCTTTTGGCCTGCCGTTTTATTATTTTTCTTGCCGCGAGAGATTTGGCTTAAGCGTACTCAGGAGAGAAAGTTAAGTCGACTCTACAGCTGTGTGTTCGGCCTGACTGGCCCACCCGCCGTAATGCTCCTCAGAACTGGAGTTGTTCAGCCTTCTTGTTTTTTCCTGCCGAGAATTTGGAAGATTCTTAGGAACGGCAGGAAAGTAGAGTAAGGACACAGTTTTCGTCCATCCTTGAAGGATCCTTGAAGGCTCAAAAGCCGATATGACAACGTGTATTTCGCGGTCCGTCTTCGAATACTGTTTTAAAAGAAAACAAGTCTGGCAAGGAAGGAATATGTCGGGGCTCCCCCCCACCCTGCTGGATACACAACTACTTGATATTTGTTTCGCAATTTCCACTTGACCATCTGCCCATAAGACAATTAAAACAAAACCAATATAGTGCCTTTGAGTTGAAATGGTAATGCATGGATGACTCAAAATCTTGATTTCCCATCACTTAGGCCTATTTGGCACCTGAGTGTGACAGAGATGCGCACCTTTACAGACACGCTTTATAAAATCCACTCAGAAATGGAATAATCGAATACTGGAGCACAGTCGAACTAGAACAGATTACAGGTGGCGGGATCAGACCAGATTATGGGCTGTTTTGACGGCTTTAGCCATGCCGCACACTCGGCGCGAAAGTCCCACCCAGCAGTCTGTAGGATCCAGTTTTTCCCCTCGTCTTCCGAGTCTCGGATTATCACGGGATCAGACGAAACTAAAACCTGACTAATCCACTGGATCTCGAGACCCAGTTATCTTAGACCGTGGACGGTTTGTGTTTTTCCAGGAATATTTTTTCTTGGGGGGGGGAATCTTAATCGTCGTACCCATAGAGTGCAGCCACCACAACCCAAATTCCTTTAAGAGGAAATCTAGAATCTTGGCCCCCGTAACACTCAAGTCTTTTCACATATTTTCCAGGACTGAAATACATTTTATAATTCACGAAAGGGTGAAAACAAATATACTAAAGATCAGAAGGTACCTAAAGATTCCACTTCTGTTAAATTTATTGACATAGCTCCTTAACTTCGATCAGACAAGGCACAAATTTACAATGTTTATCCTCGTTTTAAGACGACGTCTCGAAGTGCCGGCAACTTGACGCATTGTGTCACGTCTGAGCCGGGCCCGGTATAAACACGCACAAAGGTTTCACCGTGTAGTCCTACTTTTCATTTCAATCAGACTTCTTCATTCTCAACCATCTATTTATACAAATAGCCAGGCAACAATTGAGTGTTGCTCGTAAAAAGGCCATTGAATCCAATTTTGTCGAGAAATAAATACAAAAATGATCAAGGAGTGATAGGACAAAACTTCAAGTTTGACTTCAGATAATCTTGTTTTGTCGGATCGTTTGGCTACTTTTCTGTGCCCCTCCATTTTGGACAAATAATTACATGTCATAAGATTCAGCTTTTTTAGCGCTTTTATTTTTATAATAAATTGTTCAGGTTTTTTTCATCTTCATGGGCTATCTACGTCAAGTTCAACTTCTTTGTCCACGGCTAAAAAATCGTCATTGATAACATGACCCGACTCCTGTATGTTTAATATTCATGACAATGCGGACGGTTGTGTCAGTGATTACTATACCTTTAGTCTGCCCATTTCTTGGAGTATTGGATTTCAAAATTGAATTTGAAGCTTCATCGGTCTGCCGACGGCGTGACGGCCACACTGGACCACGGGAAATCCGTGTCACGGTTTGGTTCAGGGGTCACAGGGACGTCAGCCGGGGTCGATCCGGGAGTCAAGCCCGACCTACCGTTTAAGACAGCGCCCGCGAACCTTAGTGACAGGCCCCGGTATCTGCCACGGCGCGCTTGTCAGCGATTAAGGAGGGGGGGGGGTCGCTGAATAGCGACGGTGATTGATCCCGGCCTATCGGTGGTTGTACGAGTTGCTCATCCATCAACGGAGCCGAAGAATAAGAAGACAGATTGCAACAAGTGCGTGGTCGGCAACCTTTGGCCTCAGCAACTTGTCTCCCATGCATCACCTTATACACTGTAGTGAAATATACAGACTTCGATGATGTACGTGAATATCTCATCCAAAGCGAGCAAAATCATGCCACTATTAAGACTCGGTAATATCGGACTTCAAACCCTACTGCTACAAGAGATGCGCCAAAAATTAAACTTGATTGTGTCAGTTTTAGAAAAAAATCATGTTCAAAGTTGATGCTGGAAGCCCCTGGCGTCAGTTCGCTCAGGGCAACATCCTCCGTGTCTCTGCATTGCAGACAGTATTGTCGAGGCGTTTTTTTGTGGAACAGTTGGTTCAATAAAGTTACACAATGTTGTTTCTGTAGGTAAGTATATCAATGTTTGGTGCTGTTTGTTATTGTCTGGAATAACTCTGAGAAGCGAAGAAGGGGAAAATTCAGAGA